CGAACCCTGAACAGTTGGGGCAAGTATGGACACAACATTCAAGCTTGATACAGCTTTGCATTTGGATTGTGATTAAATATTTGACACAGCATAGGTTTCTGACACAGAATGAATGTGGTCTAAGAACTTAAAAATTTTAAATTTGACATTCACCTATTATGGTCCAATATCCAAAATCTAAATACATGGTTAGATTCAGCATATCAAAGAACCCCAATAATTCAATTTTTGATGACATCAAACAAAGTTTAATTTTGGACCCTTTTGACCTCAACCTCAATGTGGACAAAGTTGATAACGGGGCCCAAAAATCAAAAATCTAAATACATGGTTAGATTCAGCATATCAAAGAACCCCATATATTCAATTTTTGTTGTAATCAAACAAAGTTTAATTTTGGACACCGATATGGACCAACTTGAAAACTGGGCCCATAATCAAAAATCTAAATACATGTTTAGATTCAGCATATCAAAGAACCCTAAGAATTAAATTTTTGTTAAAATCAAACTAAGTATAATTTTGGACCCTTTGGACCTTAATGTAGACCAATTTGAAAACAGAACCAAAAATTAAGAATCTAAATACACGGTTAGATTCGGCATATCAAAGAACCCCAATAATTCAATTTTTGATGAAATCATACAAAGTTTAATTTTGGACCCTTTGGACCTCAATGTGGACCAATTTAAAAACAGGGCCCAAAATCCAAAAACTAAATACAGGGTTAGATTCAGCATATTAAAGAACCCCCAGAATTCAAGAATAAAACCCCATTAAAATTGGTCAAGAAATAAGCAATTTATAGGAAGTATCTTCTTTTGCACAATACTGTGCAATTAAATATTTCTTGCTATTGCGCAATACTGTACAATTGACAATTTCTTGCTATTGCGCAATATTGTGCTATTGGATATTTCTTGCTATTGCGCAATACTGTGCAATTGAAGATTTCTTGCTATTGCGCAATACTGTGCAATGGAAGATTTCTTGCTATTGTGCAATACTGTGCAATTGAAAATTTCTTACTATTGCACAATACTTATTATATAATAATTTACACATCCTGTTTGGTGTGTATCTCCTACCATATCATTATAATTTGCTTTTAAATATAAATCAGAAATAACCAACTTAAAATGGAAAATTTTAAAAGAAAAAAAAAAGGAAAAAAGAAAAAAAAAGGAAAAAAAAAAAATCCCCCCCAAATTTTTTGAACACCCTTATGATTCATCACCCCCAAACTCAATCCCAGCCTTCCCTTTGTGGTATGGTACCTTGCAGTACAATTTCAGAGAGATCCATACACTTGAACACAAGTTATTGTCTGGAAACTAGAAAAATTTGTTTTTTGGCCCCTTTTTGGCCCCAAATTCCTAAACGTTTAGGGCAAGTACCCCCAAACTCAAAACCAGCTTTCCCTTTGTGATATGGAACCATGTAGTACAATTTCAGAAAGATCAATACACTTACACACAAGTTATTGTCCTGAAACTAGAAAAATGCTTGTTTTTTGCCCCTTTTTGGCCCCTAATTCCTAAAATATTGAGGCAATTACCCCCATCATCAATCCCAGCCTTCCCTTTGAGGTGTGGTACCTTGCAGTACAATTTCAGAGAGATCCATACACTTGAACACAAGTTATTGTCTGGAAACTAGAAAAATGCTTATTTTTGGCCCCTTTTTGGCCCCCAATTCCTAAACGTTTCGGCAATTACCCCCAAACTCAATCCCAGCTTTCCCTTTGTGATATGGAACCTTGTAGTACAATTTCAGAAAGATCCAAACACTAACACACAAGTTATTGTCATGAAACTAGAAAAATGCTTGTTTTTTGCCCCTTTTTTGGCCCCTAATTCCTAAAATTTCCAGGCAATTACCCCCAAAATCAATCCCAGCATTCCCTGTGTGATATGGAACCTTGTGGTACAATTTCAGAGAGATCCATACACTTGATCACAAGTTATTGTCATGAAACTAGAAAAATGCTTGTTTTTTGCCCCTTTTTTGGCCCCTAATTCCTTAAATTTTGAGGCAATTACCCCCAAAATCAATCCCAGCATTCCTTTTGTGATATGGAACCTTGTGATACAATGTCAGAGAGATCCATACACTAACACACAAGTTATGTCTGGAAGTTACAAAAATGCTTATTTTTGGCCCCTTATTCCTTTACTGTTGGTACCATAACCCCCAAAATCAATCCCAACCTTCCTTTTGTGGTATTGAACCTTGTGGTAAAATTTCATAGAGATCCATTCACTTAAACTAAAGTTAGAGTGCGAAAACCAATGTGTCTTGGGACGATGCCTGACGACGACGACGACGCCAACGTCATACGACCACAAAAATTTTTTTGCGGTCGTATAAAAATTACTTGATATTTAGAAATAATTAAAAATTTTGCAATTTTTCCATTTATAAAGGGGCATAACTCTAGAACGGTTAAAGTGACGCAACCAAAATTCAAACTTGATCTGTGGTTTGTGGTAATAAGCATTGTGTATAAGTTTCATAACATTTGGTTGAGGCAAACTTAAGTTAGAGAACGGAAACTAAAAATTTTGCAATTTTTCCATTTATAAAGGGGCATAACTCTAGAACGGTTAAAGTGACGCCACCAAAATTCAAACTAGATCTGTGTGGTAATAAGCATTGTGTATAAGTTTCATAACATTTGATTGAGGCAAACTTAAGTAAGAGAACAGAAACTAAAAATTTTCCAGTTTTTCCATTTATAAAGGGGCATAACTCCAGAATGGTTTAAGTGACACCAACAAAATTCAAAACTTGATCTGTGTTTTGTGGTAATAAGCATTGTGTATAAGTTTCATAACATTTGGTTGAGGCAAACTTAAGTAAGAGAACGGAAACTAAAAAGTTTGCAATTTTTCCATTTATAAAGGGGCATAACTCTAGAACGGTTAAAGTGATGACACCAAAATTCAAACTTGATCTGTGTTTTGTGGTAATTAGCATTGTGTATAAGTTTCATATTATTTGGTTGAGGCAAACTCAAGTTAGAGAACGGAAACCAATTTTTGGACGTACGTACGTACAGACGGACAAGGGTAAAACTTAATGCCCCCATGGGTGCATAAAAAACTTTATTTTTATATTAAAACGGAAAAGAAAGTAAAATATGTCAATTAAAATTCATTCAAAAAATTTCTCTGTTTATCATGTTTATGAAATTCAGTGTTTCTCATTAAAAAAATATTTAAATTTAACAAGGTTTAGCAACTTTAATCAATAAATTAAAACAATGCATATACATGGAAATATATACATTAAGCAAGTAGATCTAACCAAAAGTCTTCTTATTGTGTGGAATGCGTAATTTTTCCTTTTGGGATCAAGTCTTTAACTCTTCAGTCAGCTGTGCAATCGTGTGTCCATAATTAATATTGAAAGAATACGGATTTCGTTCATAGATGGTCCGCTTCCAATGAATCCTGCCTCCGATCCGTAGTTCATACAAATATTTCAATGGCGGACAAAGAAAATTTACAAAAATAAACAATGTTTGACAAGCTATTTGGAAAGGAATATGACGTTTTTAATGCAACAAGTGGATTAAACATTAACTAAAGAAAACAATTTTCATCACATTCTAATGAAGTAACATACTTATTTTGCCGAAAATTAGATGAATTGATGTACGCTCTTGAGTAACAAGTACCGGAAGTGATACAAAATAATTTGTCTTTATGAAATAAAATACAACCGACTGTAAAGTCTATGCTTTCACCTCCTTTCTAAAGAAATAAATTGTTTATGTCTTCGAATTTCTTTACAATAAATGAAAAATTGCTGTTTCATCGACTTGGTCTAAATTGAAAATTGCCCATGAATAAAGCGACTAAAAGCCAGTATTGTGAACAACAGGGTGACAAGATATCGCTTTTGACGGTTGGGCAAAGCGAAGTAACATATGGGAAAGCGGCTTTGTCGTCCCAGTCGCCTGTTAACGTGAGCCCTGAACACTGTTAATATTCACATCCAAAATAGGCAAAATTGAGATTTTGTTGAAAGTTGATAAATCGTCTGGATTTCAACCAAATTTAGGCTTATGAAACATAGACCGCAGGTTTCGACAAACTAAAAAGCTAACCAAACTTATTCAGAAGGGATATAGTTACGATACTGATGTCAAGTCTTTAAAGATGGCACTTTTTTAATTAATATTGATTCACTCATAGGGTATTTGCATAGGAAATAAACACATTTATTCTAAAACCAGTGTTATTGGCATGATACGGGTTACGTTCTTCTCGTATATTTTATGATTGTATGATACTAAACCCCTAATGGGAGGGATGTGCTTGATTTTCATATGATGAAAACATCATTTTTCAATTACCTTAATTGAGGTCTGGAGCTGGCATGTCAGTAATTGTTAGTAGTCCTTTGTTAATTTATGTTAATTATTGTCATTTTGCTTAGTTTCTTCTGTTATCTATTCTAACATCAGACTTGGACTTCTTTTAAACTGAATTTTACTGTGCGTATTGCTGTGTGTTTTTTTATTCCACATTGGCTATGAGGTATAGGCGAAGGGTTGAGATCTCACAAAACATGTTTAACCTCGCCACATTTTTGCACCTGTCCCAAGTCAGGAACCTCTGGCCTTTGTTAGTCTTGTTTGTTTTTTTAATTTTGGTTCATTTATATGTTTCGGAGTTTAGTATGACGTCTATTTTCACTGAAACAGTATTCATTATTTTTTAAGGGCCAGCTGATGCCCGCCTCCGGGTGCAGGATTTTCTCGCTGTGTTGAAGACCCATTGGTGGCCTTAGGCTGTTTTCTGCTCTTTGGTCTGGTTGTTGTCTCTTTGACGCATTCCTCGTTTCCATTCTCAATATTAAATAATCAAGTAAGATACTCGTAAGTTAGCTGTTATAACATTTTATTTTGCTACTGTATAGTTCATGCTCAATTCTGTAAACCATTTTCTTGTGTATTTGTATTTTTATCATTTACCCTTAAGACATCTTACCGTAAATGTTCATATTTCCAAACTCCTTCATCAACACCATCTGGCTGATTTAAAATACCTTCAACATCATTAACATCTTTGTTTATAGCTTGCTGTATATACTGTAGAAAGAAAGACGACTTTATTGCATGTAAATACATGCTACATGTATATTAAAGTACATGTACTACACAAATTTAGGATTCCTCTGCTTTTATCCCATTAGCATAATTATACAATAAAATGCACATTCTAGACTTTTTTCATTTATCTCAGAATTTACAAAAATACTAGATCAAAACATCAATCAAATTTCGATATAAAAAAATCAGATGAAACATCATGAACATGTTTCCAGATACTTTTTGATGGCTAACCTTAAAAGATATAAAGACAGGACTCAGCTAATATATTCAGAACTCATAAAGCAGTCCCACCAGTTCAGGAAATGGGGCACCCAGACAGAAAATAATGTGTCCTGGTACTCCTGGACCAAGTGTACAAGTGAAAGACAACCCTGGTGTAGAGGCAGAGGAATCTGTATTGCATATTCCCAGGAAAAATAATCAAATTCATTTGGAATAAGAAACAAAAATTAATTAACATTATCATGATTATATGAATTTCTTTTATGGAAATTTTGAGTACTTACAGGACTCAGGAGCAATTGAATGTACTCCACTAGATCATACTACATAGTGTTAGTTCCTGTAGGAAAATTTGGAAGGTATTAACTGTATTTACAAAATTGTATATACATGTACATGTATGTACACGATGTAAAACAGTGTTCTCCCAAGGATTTTGGATAGCACCATAATAAGTGTGTGAGATAGATATACATATAAAAATATCTAGATTTAATTGTCAAGATTGTGGCATAATTTTTTGTTTATCAAAATGATTAAATACTCTTTCCAAGTTAAGAGGATCACTCAACTCAATAGTTTTTCATTATTTCTGTCTTAAACATGTTAACTAAATATTGTATAAACATGATAAATCACCTGTTGTACAGCTAATGTATTATCCATTTCTTCATAAGCTATGTCACTCCATTTTGACCACATCTGTAAACAAAACATATACAGTTGTAATTTCAAAATATAAAACTTCTTCTTCCAATGTCCTGCTATTTCAGGGCTCACACTACTTCAGAATCATAGGGAGAAGTGACTTCTCTTTTTGATTCTGATAGGGAGAAGTGGTGAGATTTGAAAGAGAAGTGCTCCTTCGCGCACTGCGCTACAATGTTTTGATTTTACTATAGTATAAAGGGTCATATGTAAATAATGTTCTTTTTATATTGTTCAATTCATATCTGAGTATACAATTAAATTAACAGTTCAAATTCAAAGTTGTTTAAGTTTATGTTCTTGTGAGAAACTTCCAACTAAATAACTAGCACTAAAAAGATTTTTTTTTTTATGTCAAAAAGGTAAAGAAATTATAATATATGAATTACAATTCAATTAATAAAATGCTCCGCAGGGTGCAGCTTGATACTACCGCAGAGGTCGAACCCTGAACAGTTGGGGCAAGTATGGACACAACATTCAAGCTTGATACAGCTCTGAATTTGGATTGTGATTAAATATTTGACACAGCATATGTTTCTGACACAGAATGAATGTGGTCTAAGAACTTAAAAATTTTAAATTGGACATTCACCTATTATGGTCCAATATCCAAAATCTAAATACATGGTTAGATTCAGCATATCAAAGAACCCCAAGAATTCAATTTTTGATGACATCAAACAAAGTTTAATTTTGGACCCTTTTGACCTCAATGTGGACAAAGTTGATAACGGGCCCAAAAATCAAAAATCTAAAGACATGGTTAATTCAGCATATCAAAGAACCCCATATATTCAATTTTTGTTGAAATCAAACAAAGTTTAATTTTGGACCCCGATTTGGACCAACTTGAAAACTGGGCCCATATAATCAAAAATCTAAATACATGTTTAGATTCAGCATATCAAAGAACCCTAAGAATTCAATTTTTGTTAAAATCAAACTAAGTTTAATTTTGGACCCTTTGGACCTTAATGTAGACCAATTTGAAAACAGAACCAAAAATTAAGAATCTAAATACATGGTTAGATTCGGCATATCAAAGAACCCCAATAATTCAATTTTTGATGAAATCAAACAAATTTTAATTTTGGACCCTTTGGACCTCAATGTGGACCAATTTAAAAACGGGGTCCAAAATCCAAAAACTTAATACACGGTTAGATTCAGCATATTAAAGAACCCCAAGAATTCAAGAATAAAACTCCATTGAAATTGGTCAAGAAATAAGCAATTTATACGAAGTATCTTCTTTTGCACAATACTGTGCAATTGAATATTTCTTGCTATTGTGCAATACTGCACAATTGACAATTTCTTGCTATTGCGCAATATCGTGCTATTGGATTCTTGCTATTGCGAAATACTGTGCAATTGAAGATTTCTTGCTATTGCGCAATACTGTGCAATTGAAGATTTCTTGCTATTGCGCAATACTGTGCAATTGAAGATTTCTTGCTATTGTGCAATACTGTGCAATTGAAAATTTCTTGCTATTGCACAATACAATGTACTTATTATATAATAATTTACACATCCTGTTTGGTGTGTATCTCCTACCATATCATTATTATTTACTTTTAAATATAAATCAGAAATAACCAACTTAAAATGGAAAATTAAAAAAAAAAAAAAAAGGAAAAAAAGAAAAAAAAGGAAAAAAAAAAAAAATCCCCCCCCCCTTATGATTCATCACCCCCAAACTCAATCCCAGCCTTCCCTTTGTGGTATGGTACCTTGCAGTACAATTTCAGAGAGATCCATACACTTGAACACAAGTTATTGTCTGGAAACTAGAAAAATGTGTTTTTTGGCCCCCAATTCCTAAACGTTTAGATCAATACCCCCAAACTCAATTCCAGTTTTCCCTTTGTGATATGGAACCTTGTAGTACAATTTCAGAAATATCCAAACACTAACACACAAGTTATTGTCATGAAACTAGAAAAATGCTTGTTTTTTGCCCCTTTTTTGGCCCCTAATTTCTAAAATTTCCAGGCAATTACCCCCAAAATCAATCCCAGCATTCCCTGTGTGATATGGAACCTTGTGGTACAATTTCAGAGAGATCCATACACTTGATCACAAGTTATTGTCTGGAAACTAGAAAAAATGCTTATTTTTTGCCCTATTTTGGCCCCTTATTCCTCAACATTTTGGGCAATTACCCCCAAACTCAATTCCAGCTTTCCCTTTGTGATATGGAACCTTGTAGTACAATTTCAGAAAGATCCATACACTTACACACAAGTTATTGTCATGAAACTAGAAAAATGCTTGTTTTTTGCCCCTTTTTTGGCCCCTAATTCCTAATATTTTGAGGCAATTACCCCCAAAATCAATCCCAGCATTCCCTTTGTGATATGGAACCTTTTGGTACAATGTCAGAGAGATCCATACACTAACACACAAGTTATGTCTGGAAGTTACAAAAATGCTTATTTTCGGCCCCTTTTTGGCCCCTAATTCCTTAACTGTTGGTACCATAACCCCCAAAATCAATCCCAACCTTCCTTTTGTGGTATTGAACCTTATGGTAAAATTTCATAGAGATCCATTCACTTAAACTAAAGTTAGAGTGCGAAAACCAATGTGTCTTCGGACGACAACGACAATGACGACAACGTCGCCAACGTCATACCAATATACGACCGCAAAAATTTTTGCGGTCGTATAAAAACTATCTTGTTTATCATGTTATGAAATTCAGTGTTTCTCATCAAAAGATATACAAAGTTAAGCTGGGCCAGAATATATTGATATTAGTAGTTAAGCAACTTTAATCAATATTTTGAAACAATCCATATAAATCATGTAAATTATATGGAATTACATGTATATACATTAATCAATTAGATCTAACCAAAAGTCTGTTAATGCGTGTGGAATGCGAAATTTTTCCTTTTGGGATCAATATTCTTCTGTCAGCTTTTCCATTCATGCGTCTGTCGTTATTATTGTAAAAATACCGATTTCGGTCATAGCTGGTCCGGTTCCGATCTGTAGTTAGTAAACAATTAATGGCAGACGAAGAAAATTTACAAAAATAAACAATGTTTGACAAGCTATTTGGAAAGGAATATGATGTTTTTAATGCAATAAATGGATTAAACATTTACTGGAGGCAACTTTGATCACTTTCAAATGAAGTAACAAACTTATTTTGCCGCCGAAAGTTAGATTGATATACGCTCTCTGAGTAACAAGTACGGGAAGTGCATGCAGTGATAAAAAGTTGTCTTTTTATTGAATAACCTGCTACACACTGTAAAGTCAATGCTTAAACCTCTTTTCTTAAGAAAATGATTCGTTTATGTCTGAATTTCTTTAATAATCAATAAAAAATTGATGTTTTATCAACTTGGTAAAAATTAAAAATGTCCGATGACGAAAGCGACTGAAAGCGAGTATCGTAAACAACAGGGCGACTTGTTTTCGCTTTTGAGGGTCGGGCAAAGCAAAGTGACAGACGGGAAAGCGACTTCTTCGCCCTAGTCGCCTGGTAGCGTGAGCCCTGACATTTTCTTACACTTGAAATTTCCTAAAAAAGACACTTTTTTAAACATCATGGATCCAGCCATTTTGAAAAGGAGGGGTTTCAACCCCTAAAACTTTCAGATAATAAAAATAAAATAAATAAAATGCTTCGCTGAGAGCAGCCTGATACGACCACAGAGGTCGAACCCTGAACAGTTGGGCCTAATTTGGACACAATATTCAAGCTTGATATATATACTGTCTGAATTTGGATTGTAATAAAATTATTGACATAATATAGGTTTCTGACACAAAATAAATGGGGTCAAAGATCTTATAAATCCATTGCGCAATACTGTGCAATGGAAAATTTCTTCTTGCAACTTTTCAAAAATTCGAAATTTTAAAAATTTTGAAAAAAATTCCCCCCCCCCCCTCCCAACTTTTTGAAACCCCCCTTGGAGCAATTACCCCAAAACTCAATCCCAGCCTTTCCTTTGTAGCATGGAACCTTGTAGTACAATTTCAGAGAGATCCATACACTTACACACAAGTTATTGTCTGGAAACAAGAAAAATGCTTGTTTTTTTTTTTTGCCCCTAATTCCTACATGTTTGGGGCAATTAACCCCAAACTCAATCCCAACCTTGCCTTTGTAGTATTGAACCTTCTTAAAAAATTTCATAAAGATCCATTCACTTTAAATAAAGTTATTGTCCTGAAACCAATGTGTCTTCGGAAGATGACGACGACATCCTACCATTATACGATCCCCAAAAAATTTTTGCGGTCGTATAAAAAGGGGGGTTCCCACCCCCAGAACACCGCCACTTGATCCTCCAATGTAAAGTCAGTAGATTATTACCATTTATATAGAACTACTTGTTCTTGTATAAGAGTTTGTGATATTCCATTATTTTGTCAGACCAAGGACTGACATGGTGCAAACTTTTGCTGGTCCTTCAAAAAATGTGTTGGTTCCCCATTTTTAATTACTTCATTTGGTTTAAAAAAATTATGCTTTCCAGTTACAATAACCACAAATCAGTGCATCATGATTTGACCAAATACCCAATGTTGTAACGACCTTTAGCTGTTAGTAAAAAAATGTGTTTTTTTATTGTTTTAAAATAAAGTGACATTCTAATTTATTAAACGTATCCTTTGGTGTTTCGTGATTTTTTTTTACCAAATGAATTTTTATTCATGAAAATATAATTATTTAGATATATACATTTGTATATCTAAAAATTCAACCTGTATTTGATTAATAAAATGCTTCGCTGGGGCGCAGCTTGATACGACCGCAGAGGTCGAACCCTGAACAGTTGGGGCAAGTATGGACACAACATTCAAGCTTGATACAGCTCTGAATTTGGATTGTTATTAAATATTTGACACAGCATAGGTTTCTGACACAGAAAGAATGTGGTCTAAGAACTTGAATTTTTTTAATTTACCTATTATGGTCCAATGTCCAAAATCAAAATACATGGTTAGATTCAGCATATCAGAGAACCCCATATATTCAATTTTTGTTAAAATCAAACAAAGTTTAATTTTGGACCCCAACTTGGACAAACTTGAAAACTGGGCCCATAATCAAAAATCTAAACACATGTTTAGATTCAGCATATCAAAGAACCCCAAGAATTCAATTTATGCTAAAATCAAACTAAGTTTAATTTTGGACCCTTTGGACCTTAATGTAGACCAATTTAAAAAACGGGACTTAAAATTAAAAATCTAAATACACGGTTAGATTTGGAATATCAAAGAATCCCAATAATTCAATTTTTGATGAAATCAAACAAAGTTTAATTTTGGACCCTTTTGACCTCAATATGAACCAATTTGATAGCGGGGCCTACAAATAAAAAATCTAAATACATGGTTAGATTCAGCATATCAAAGAACCTCATATATTCAATTTTTGTTGAAATCAAACAAAGTTTAATTTTGGACCCCAATTTGGACCAACTTGAAAACTGGGCCCATAATCAAAAATCTAAATACATGTTTAGATTCAGCATATCAAAGAACCCCATATATTCAATTTTTGTTGAAATCAAACAAAGTTTAAATACTGGACCCTATCTTGGACCAACTTGAAAACTGGGCCCATAATCAAAAATCTAAACACATGTTTAGATTCAGCAAATCAAAGAACCCCAAGAATTCAATTTTTGTTAAAATCAAACTAAGTTTAATTTTGGACCCTTCGGACCTCAATGTAGACCAATTTAAAAAACAGGACCCAAAATTAAAAACCTAAATACACGGTTAGATTTGGAATATCAAAGAACCCCAATAATTCAATTTTAGATGAAATCAAACAAAGTTTAATTTTGGACCCTTTTATCCTCATTATGAACCAATTACAATGTAGATAACGGGGTCCAAAAATAAAAAATCTAAATACATGGTTAGATTCAGCATATCAAAGAACCCCATATATTCAATTTTTGTTGAAATCAAACAAAGTTTAATTTTGGACCCCAATTTGGACCAACTTGAAAACTGGGCCAAAAATCAAAAATCTAAATACATGTTTAGATTCAGCATATCAAAGAACCTCATATATTCAATTTTTGCTAAAATCAAACAAAGTTTAATTTTGGACCCTTTGGACATTAATGTAGACCAATTTGAAAACTGGACCCAAAATTAAAAATCTAAATACACTGTTAGATTCGGCATAACAAATAAATAAATGTGATCAAAGATTTTACAAATCTAATGCGCCATACTGTGCAATTAAAGATTACTTCTTGAAATTTTTCAATATTTGAAATTTGAAAAAAAAATAATATTTGAAGAATAATTCTTTTTAATTTCTAAAATCTGAAATGAGAAAAAATTGGCCCCCCACAATTTCTTTTTATCCCCCCCCCCCCCTTTTTCCCCCAAAAAAATTCTTTCCCTCAAGATATGGTCATAATCTCAATTCAAATTTCCAATGGAGTTGGCAACCATAATTACCCATTTAAATTTACCATAGTGCTAACTTAATCTATTTTATAATAGAATTAATAAAAATATAGTGTCAAATCTTTCATATGGATTTTTTTGTAAAAAAAAAGATGAAAACATTTGCAGATATTTTTACTGGTCTTCCTTTATAAATATGCATTTCTTTAAACATAATTTAAAAGCAGTGTAAGGGAAGTAACCAAAACGTTGTATTTGGATTACCTCCCTTACACTGTTTTAGATTATCTTTATTGTTCATTAACCATTACTTTATACATAATTTAAAAGCAGTGTAAGGGAGATAATTTCAATGATGTATTTGATTTATCTCCCTTACACTGCTTTAAATTATGTTTTGTACTAAAGTATTTGTCCATTAACCAGGACAACTTTGTTTTTCCCCCTTTTTTGCCCCTAATTCCTAAACGGTTTGAGCCATAACCCCCCAAAGCAAATCCTAACCATCCCTTTGTGGTATGGAAACTTGTAGTATAATTTCAGAGAGATCCATACACCGTTCCACAGTTATTGTCTGGAAACTAGAAAATGCTCATTTTTGGCCCCTTTTTGGCCCCTAATTCCTTGACTGTTGGTACCATAACCCCCAAAATCAATCCCAACCTTCCTTTTGTGGTATTTAACCTTATGGTCAAATTTCAAAAAGATCCATTCACTTAAACTAAAGTTAGAGTGCGAAAACCAATATGTATTCGGACGACGACGCCAGACGACGACGACGACGACGACCATGACGACGACGCCAACGTCATACCAATATACGACCACAAAATTTTTTTGCGGTCGTATAAAAATGGGGTGTTTAAGAACCCAGGGTCCAACGTGTGGGGTGCAAACATGTCAAGGGAGCAAACAGACAGGATACAGTTTGACTAGTACACTGCCAGAATATACACTAAGTGAGTAAGTTTAATTTAGAGTCAGCACATATTACAAACAACAATAAACATGATAAACTCCAAATAGACCTTATTGTTACATGTATTTGAGGATCTGTTACACTTGACCTGAGATTTAGCAACACTTGATTGATCAGGTCATGTACAACAATCACTTTTTCTTTGTGGTGTCAGACTACTGTAGTCCAAATAATTATGACATCTTGAAAGGCTATTATATTTTTTTGCTTTGACGCCTTACATCAATGTCATTCAAGTCATTATGCTGAAGCCATCTTTTTTGGTTGTTTTTTGAAAGTGAATTTCGCTCTCAACTTTGAGACCCAATTTAGCCATAAAATTTTCATTTAAGGCTAGAAATTTTTGCATATATACAAATTCTTACCTTTTATGTGTTTGTTTGTGCAAAATATTTCAAATAATTTCCTAAAGTAATGATATGATAAAATAAGTTACAATTCCATCCAAGGTGGACTATTATCTACTGCTTTTTTTAAAACGTTATTCTGATTTCTTTTTAGGAGAGTATAAAATAAATTTTTACACCAAACTTGGTAAAATTTGACAGATCCAAATTTCCGGAACGTTTGTTTTTATATTATCTTGAAATTCAGGTCCGTCAAATTTTACCAAGTTTGGTGCAAAAATTTATTTTATACTCCTAAAGTGAAGAGTCTTAAGGAGAAATCAGCTAAACGTTTTAATAAAGCAGTAAATTCTCTCTCAAAGTCTAACTGAAAATATGAGTTCGGCGTTATGTCGCTGTAAGGCGTCAAAGCAAAAAATATAATAGCCTTTCAAGACGTCATAATTATTTGGACTAGTGTCAGACAATTTCTCTTGTGAAGTCAAAAATTTTGGGAAATGTGTGTGGTGTCTAGTAATGACGGACAAATAACGATAAGGTGTATTGCAATCATTGTAAATAGTGAACATTATGTTGAAACTTAAAGGTTTCAAATTTTATTTTTTAATTTGAAACTTTCAAGTTTCTTGACACTAAACATGCTAAATTTGACTTCTTGTTGCTTATTTCAATATTTGTGAGACCGATGGCGATGCTGGCCTTGGGTCTGATTTCATAAAATGAATCATCATCAACGTATGCGTGAACTGCTTACCAATCATGGTGCACGCCAATACACAGTTTTGAAATAACTGGATGCCTATCTTTTCGACCTTTTTTACACTGGGAGGGATGAATGTTATCATGAAAAAACTTTAAGATCCTGTGAGCGGGGCAAAAGGTTTGATGGTATCTTAGCGTATCATCATCGTAAGTGTTACAAATGACATACAATATATACGCTCAAAGTGATAGTTTAACTAATCAATTGACTAAATAATTTGCCTCAGCTTTTGTTCCTGGCCGATTTCGTCGGAGGACTGCTGTACTTCCATCGGCCATTTTCATCTTCATTGCAGCGCCCTCTCAAAATAAATTACCAAGGGACATAACTACTAATACTAATATACTAATATTTTATTTCCTAATCATAGGGCTCAATACAAGCATATCAATCACGTTACAGATACAATACAATATAATTATGAATTTTAATACATATAACAAACAATAATTGTTCATAAATAAAAGGGGGAGAGTAAGTTTATACAGTATACAAAGGAGGATAACTCCTGGTCCACATCAAATATCTGTAAAAGAGGGACGAAAGATACCAATTTTGTAGACTGTTGTTAGTCTTGTCGTCGTTTTTCGTTTTTTTTTCATGATTTCTTCAGTTTGTCTTCGAAAAGAGGGACGAAAGATACCAGAGGGACAGTCAAACTCATAGATCGAAAACAAACTGACAACGTCATGGCCAAAAATAAAAAGACAAAAAGACAAATAATAGTACAGATGACACAACATAGAAAACTAAAGACTAAGCAACACGAACCCCACCAAAAACTGGGGGTGATCTCACGGGTGCTCCGGAAGGGTAAGCAGATCCTGCTCCACATGTGGCACCCGTCGAGTTGCTTATGTTATTACAAATCCGGTAAATAGTCTAATTCGGTAAGTCACATTCGTGAAAAGGGAAGGGTATTGTAGTTACGACATAAGGAACATATCCGATATCATCTGTGAAACGGTTATTCCATAACGGTCAACCAACTCGTGATGGCGTCCATAAAATTTACGAAGGGATGACTTCAACTTCACCATTTGGAACTCTTGGTTTAATAGCTTCCTTGTGAGCAGCAAACCAGGGGCGTGTTTTATTGGTCTCTTCTGCACATCTCCAGAATGTCTTCTGGTGAAGAGTTCACTGAAAAAATGAATCTGGACCTCTTCTGGAGATATTCTACGGAAGATCAATAAAACAAAAAAATTCAATTTGCCGTCGAATATAGCAGATTTTTGTTATGTTGGATGACATAAATGAAGTTTACGATGATTTTATAGAAATTAAAATACGTCCGGTAGACATGACTGTAAAAGTGTGCTCTGTTCGTGACATTTTTCTTTGTTCTTTCCTCTAACTCAATTTTGCTAGACAAATCTGGCTTAAACCCCCACTATTTGATTTTTAAGAATAATCTTAAACTGCACAAAAATTCGTCAATTTTGTCTCGAATATGATCAAAAAGGACATCTTGTCTATCCAATTTTTTTAAAGTAACCAAACTGGATTATTTTTGTATAAAGCAAAGATATCGGAAAGTTCTCGAAATCATTTTTCTCTGGTGGTCCTTGAAGAAAATCTTCTGGTCCTAACTATTATTTCTATTGCAAAATTTCGATGGTCAAAACCTTCGGACCACCACTTTTCAAAAATTTTCATTGTATATGTATCAATATGCAAGTATACAATGTATAACCGTGAGACATTGCTCAGACTGTTTTTTTTTTTTTTTTTTTTTATTTTTAATAAATTCGTTGGTTGTGTACTGATTGATACTTCAGTCTGGGAGGACAAGATTTATTTCAATATAAGTTGTTATTAGCTTTGAACAAACTTCCAGTAATTGCAAATACTCTTATTTCGGTGCTAAGCCTTTGTGTCTATTGTCTTAATGTAAGTTTTTTTTTCTGTTTTTTTTTTGTGTCTCGTACCAATCTTTTGAGTTAATCTAATTGCAATTGATTTGTGCAGGTTGTTCTTATATTGTACTGTTACACCACTGTCCCAGCTTCGGGAAGGGTTGAGCGCTCACAAACATGTTCTTGTACTGTTACACCACTGTCCCAGGTTAGGGGGCGGGTTGGGCCGGATCTCGTTAACATGTTTAACCCCGCCACATTCTTTATGTATGTGCCTGTCCCAAGTCAGGAGCCTGTAATTTAATGGTTGTCGTTTGTATGCTGTGTTACATATTTGTTTTTCGTTCTTTTTTTTGTACATTAATTAGACCGTTAGTTTTCTCGTTTGAATTGTTTTACATTTGTGATTTCGGGGCCTTTTATAGCTGACTATGCGGTATGGGCTTTGCTTATTGTTGAAGGCCGGTGACCTATAGCTGTTAATTGCTGTGTCATTTGGTCTCTTGTGGAGGGTTGTCTCATTGGCAATCTTCGTTTTTATATCAACCCTGCCATATTCTTTGTGTGCCTGTCCCAAGTCAGGAGCCTGTAGTTTAGTTGTTGTCGTTGGTTCATGTCTCGATCGACTCACATATGATAATTTGTTATGTATAATTAGGCCGTAAGTTTTTTCGTTTGAATTGTTTCTCACACTTTCAGTCACGTCGGGCCTTTTGACAGTATCGGGTTTTGTCATTGTTGAAGGCCTTAATTACGGTTGCCTATAATTGCTTACATCCACTTCATATTTGAACTCCGGTGGATAGTTGCCTCGTTAGCAATCATACATTTCTTCGTTTTTATTTATTTACCTGACTTTTAAACTCGTGTTTCCTGAACCGAGTCCTGAACATGCATGACATATTTGTCACTGGGCATTCATTTTTTTATACATTAATCAGACCATTAGTTTTCTCGTTTGAATTGTTTTACATTTGCGATTGCGGGGCCTTTTATATCTGACTATGCGGTATGGGCTTTGCTTATTGTTGAAGGCCGTACGGTGACCTATAGTTGTTAACCTATATGTCATTTGGTCTCTGGTGGAGAGTTGTCTCATTGGCAATCATACCGCATCTCATTTTTACATTAATTCCAAGGCCTCGTGAAGACAGATATATATAAACAAGTCTAAACTGAAAACAACGTTCAAACCTATGATTGCGTTGGATAAAAACCGCAATTTTTATACGTGTGCATGCAAAACAAATTTCTTGGTAGAGGGGTCTAAATACAGCTCACTACCGAAGAACAAAAAAACACGCCCTAGGCCTATTGTTAATTTTTGTTCTCGGGTCTTTTGCCCTTCTGCATTTAAATAAAGAATTAAGATAATCACTGAATTCAGATATAAGTTAAATGTCTTCATTTGACATTATCGAGATTCAAAAATAATCTTTATTCAATGACTCTACCATCCAAAGCCAAATACCTCCATATTTTGATAATATAGAACCACCTATTATTTCGTATTCTTATAAAAAAAAACAGCAGAAGTTTGATTTTTAATTATACGTCAGTTACATCAGACGTCAATGTAGAAAATAATGTTCCTTCCACTTGAGATTATGAAACATCTAGTTTTAGATATGTTCCCTATGGTAATGTCCTTACAGGAGACCTCATGCAACATCGTCGAAGACCGTGAGGTTATAACTTTTCTTAAGAAAGGACCGAAATATCGTCCTCCATCTAAAATAGATTGGAAACAGTGTCGTCAGGTCATTAAAGACGCTCTATCTGTCTACTGTAAAAATTGGTGTAAACGTGAAAAATCTGATTAAAAATCTCTAGACAGTTATTTGAATAAAATTATGAATACTGTTAATATTCGTATATCTCATTTTGGGAACAATTCTGAAATTAGTAATAGGGTCCATGATATTCCCATTTCCAGAATAAAAAATAAACTCCAAGTACTCTCAAAGCGGTTTGTGCTCGTACCGGCAGACAAAGCAGCAAATAATGTAGTGGTGGTGTGACGCATATACTACACGGAAGTTCTCCAAAACGAAATTACAAATTCATCTACATTCAGGTCCGTACGCTCCACAGAGAGTCAAATTGTAAACAAGCATATCACTGCCACTACCCAGCTTAAAGCCTCTTCCGAACATTTGAAAGTCCCTACTGTGTACTGGTAACCTAAATTGCACAAAAAACCATTTAAATTCCGTTTCATATCCGCATCTAGTATAAGTGTTCTACTACCAATCTATCAGTGCTTCTAACTACCTCCCTTACTACTATCAAAGAACTTGTTATTAACTTTTGTAATAAAGCTTATGAAAATAATGGTATTAATTATTTTTGGAGTGTTAAAAATTCTTTAGAGGTTTTAGATAGAATACATGCTTTTGATGGTCCTTTTCCGTTGACAGTTATGATTTTTCTTCTCTCTAAACTACACTTCTACACAATCTTATCAAGAAAAAGTTTTCATATTTAATTGAATGGTCTTTTGAAAAATCTCATTACAAATTTATTTGCTGTAACTCGTTTAACGCCTTTTTCTGTAACGAAAAAGGAAAGTATGCTAGATACACTTACTGGAAATGTGAAGATATGATTGAAGCTTTAAATTTTCTTCTGGACAACATATATGTACGTTTCAGCGATAAAGTGTATCGACAAGTAGTAGGTATTCCTATGAGCACTAACTGCGCCCCTTTAATAGCAGATTTATTCCTGTATTGCTATGCATCTCAGTTTAAGACCAAACTCAGTAAAGACACGTCATTGTTACATTTGGTTGATACATTCAACAATACCTTCCGTTATCTAGATGATATTTTTTCGTTAAATTATCCAGAGTTCTCTAAATATACTACTGAAATTTACCCAATAGAACTTACTTTAACTAAACCTAACATAAACAGCAGTAGTTGTCCTTTTCTGGATTTGGACATTTCAATCTCTAAAGGAAAACTCCATACGAAAATTTACGACAAAAGAGACGATTTTTCATTCCCTATTGTTAATTTTCCTTTTTAGACGGCGATGTTCCTTTGGCTCCATCATACGGTGTTTATATATCCCAACTCGTTCGTTATGCCCGTGTGTGTAGTGATGTCATAGATTTTAACGAACGTAATCAATGCATCACTGGTAAATTATTAAGTCAGGGATTTCGTTACCATAAATTACGTAAAACGTTTGCTAAGTTCTTTCATAGATACAAAGATTTGATTAGTAAATTTGGCTGTACCTGAAGAAAACTGATTAAAACCGGTATTTCACATCCTAAATTTTACGGTAATATTGTACTTAAAGCGCGGAAATCACTATGTGATCCGTGTAAACTCATCGAACCTTTAAACAAATTTATTAGTAAAGGTTATCTTACCAATGTTGTAATTAGATCTTTGAATATAGTTTACATTGGCACTAATATCG